CAAGACTCCTTGCAAGTTGTGTTTGGTTTGGGGGGATTTTTTGATTGTTTTTGGGGTTTTTTTTTCCCTTATTAGTTTGAGCAAGTTTTGTTCAAGGTCACAGTGGAGTTACTTCCTTTGAAATCTAAATTTATTTTTCCTCCCTGAGAAGGTGATTAAGCTGGCTCCTTTTCAAGGTGTTTGCTTGCCAAATGTAACACTAAGGGCCTTTGATACATTAATACAACAGAACAAAGAATAAAAAACCCAAAAAGATGATCAGGGCAGAGGTTTGGTCCCCATCAGGACTAGTTAAAATTTTTACGTCATGTGAAGTGCTTGTTTAATTCTAGTGCATGTGTAAAAGCTGCAGAATGACTCAAAAGAGATTCCTCTAAAGTTATTCAGAGGTCTGGGCTGGTGAGCAGCTCACACACCTGCACATTTGGCCACGTGCCACTGTTGCAGATGGGTCCACAAGCAGTGGTGCTGTCTGGAAGCTGTGTCTGCCTCTGCAGCTGGAGCATTGCAGCCAGAAGAGGCTGCACCCTGAGCTGCAGAGACCTTCACCAGAAGCTTAATTAGCCCAAATGCCTCCAAAATAAGAGGCCTCAGGCTGTGGGATGGCCTGTGGCTGTGCCATCTGTGCCGTGGGCTGTGCATTTGGCTGCTGGCAGGCAGGGAGTAAGAATGGAGGTACCACTGCTGGCACAGCAGATGCCATCCCAAATCACACACAGCTTCAGACCCACTTCAGACTTTGTTAAGATTTAAGGAGAGTGTGAAACCTTCTCTCAGGTGGATTTGTCCCTGCCTCCATCTCTGTGGGTCACAGCAAGCAGATGGGCACTGTGAGGTTGGTAAAGGGTCTGTTGTGCTTCTGGGTCAGCCAGTTGGCTTGTTAATCTCCTCTGAGACCAGAACCTTATTTCAACTCTCAGTGAAGTCAGGAGAAATATTTTGAAGGCTCTGGCTTGGCTTCAGGCTGTCTCTGGAGCTGTGGATACAGCAGCAGCCCAGGTGTGCATCTGCCTGGGCAGCTTGTGGTTGGTGGAACAGGAAAGGTGTTTGTGCAGAATTTCCAAATTTGCACCAAAAAAAGTCTGCTTGAAATTTTTTCTCTCAGTTCCCCACCCCTGTCTGAGTTCAGACAGACATGGTGGCTTTGGCTCAGGGCACGAGGTGATGGGCTAATACTCAACTCCTCCAGACATCAATAATCCTCCAGGACCCCTTGGCTCCAACAGAGCTCCCAAAACACAACCTTGTAGGGTCACATCACCTGCAGACTGCTCAGGGATCAGCATGGTCTGGGGCCTTGGGAGCTGTTTTTTTCCCAGCCTTGAGCAGTGAGAAGATGAGGTGAAGCTGCTGAACTGACTGTGCAATTCCTGTTTATTTTTAGGGTTCCTACGGTGTCGTGAAACTGGCCTACAACGAGAACGATGACAAGTATTATGTAAGTGTGTCTCTGCTCCTCTTTGCTGCTGCTGTTCCTCCCCTGAGAGCTGGGTCCTCTCTACCTGGCTGCTTTCAGCATGAGCATTTCTGATTTGGGTGGCTTGCAAGGAGCTGAAGCTCCCGCTGGGCACGGAGCCGCTGCGCTCGGGAGGGGACGGGGTGGGCGCCTTATGTAAGGCACAGGCAGGCTGCAGAAGCATGCTGCTGATTTGCCTTGGCATTTTCTAGCTATGAAGCAGGTCACCTGAAATTAGAGGCATGTGGGTGGTGGTATTCAGCGCCTGCTGTGCATTGGAAGCCTGGCCTGGAAGGAGCAGGCGTGTTTTGTAAGGAAACGGGGGCGTTTCTCAGAAAAATGCTGTACACTGTGGTGTGGCTGGGCAGTGCCAGGCTCCCTGCATCTTACCCCCTTGGGGGATGCCTGGGGGACACTGAACAAGGCTCACTGTCAGGGCAGGAGGTGTAGGGTGCAAGACAGAAGGCAAATCTTGGGGTTTAAGGAAGCCCGAGTTGGAGAGTTTCCTATTCCAAAAGGCCGCTTATGCGGAAGGCTCCTGCTCTGTGCCTCCCCTTTCAGAGGCAGCTAAATCCCAGCCATCCCAACTGGAATTCCTGCAAAATCTGCCTGCAGATGTGCTCATGTCCCTGGGCTTGCCAGGGCTTGTTTTCTTCAGTCTGAGAGCAGGAGCTGGAAGGAAGGAAAACTTCCTTGCTATGTGTGGCTCTGCCTGGAGGCTTCTAGGAAGAGCTTCCAGCAGTTTCTGATGGATCCCAGGGCAGGAATCTGCTGAGCAGAGCTGTGTGGTTGCAGTGCTGTTAAACCTCAACCCAACACAGCCCTGCCAGAGCTGCCGCTCCGTGCTGCATTTGGTGAGAGTGTCCTGCTGCTGCTCCTGCATGTGGATGAAAATGGGCCCATCAGGGCACCCAGGCAGTCCTGTGTGCTGCTGCTTGTCCCTGCTGGCTTTGGGACAAAGAGGGGTAAGAATGTGTTGTGGAACAAAAACCATGCTCATTCCCCACTGCTCCCCAGATAGTTTTTCCTCCTTGACTATTACAAGAGACACACCAGGTTGAAAGGGTCAGGCGGGAATTGTGTGCCTGTGGGTATTCCTTAGCCTTTCTGTGCTTCCAGCAGGCATGAAACTGTGGCAGGAATGTCTTGAAATGAAGGATGGAAGAGATGAGACAAAAATCTGGACAAGGTGCCCTGGAGCTGGCCAAGGAAAGGAGCCACAATTTTTTCCATCTCCTGTCGTTTCCAAGCTGATTCACAGCAGCACCAGAGCTTTTTCCAATGGCTCCTTTTCTCTGCTGCCCTCCAAATCCTCCCTGCCATGCCCTGCAGCAGGATGGTTTGTTCTGCAGAGGTGCCAGCCCTGGCTTCCCTGATCCATCTGTCCCACCAGCACCAGTAGCACAGAGTGGAAACACATCACATCCATAAATCACGTTTATTTCCAGCTGAAAACACTCTTCCTTTGAAAATTGTAATCCTTATATTTTGGCACTGCCCTTTTGTTCAGGAAATCCCACTGAGATGCCCAGTGGTGGGCAGGGCATCTGTTAGAGCTCAGCAGGGGAGAGCTGGGTTCAGGATAGCATTGCCCTCTGCAGTCCTGTCCCTGTTTTGGGTGCAGATTAACCCCGTGGATATAGATTTAGCCGGTCAAATCCAAACCAAAAGTGAAAGCCTGTGTGCAGGTTAGCCTCCTGTGTGTGTTAGTTAATCCCCACTTAATCCTGGTTTCTAATCTAAGCAAGATTAGAAGAATCTAAGCTGCAGCCCAGGAGAGACACCGTGCCTGAGGGCTGTTTGAGCCTCACCTGAAGGCAGGCAGGGCACAAAGACCCCCACACTGCAGGGATGTGCTCTTTGCTTCTCCCCATCCTGCTTTTGGGGTTGAGCTGGATCCCAGCTGGGATCCTGGCAATCCTGGTATGGAGAGATGGGCCCAGAGCAGTGCCTGCTGTGTGTGGCTGTGCTGGGTGTCTGTGGGGAGAGGAGGGGGCAGGCTGCTGTGAAAGGCAGTGATCTCTGAACTCTGTGTCCCATGTCCTTGTTCCTCTCTTGGCAGGCTTTTCAAAGCTCCAGAGAAGCTTCAGAATGCTGATTGCACTGGCTAGTGGTTGTTTAGCTCTGCTCCTGCCTGGTGTGCCTGACCCTTGAGCTCTTCTTCTGTCCTGCCCTGCTAATCCTTCCCATCCCAGGCTGTTCCTCAGCAGTGCACCCCGATCCCCAGGGGTACCTAATGACTCTTACCAGCACTTAATAGGAGCAATTGTGATTCTAATAATTGGGAAGGGCCTTTTCTGAGTGTTTGTTTTCCCCCAGATTTAGCTCTGGATGGTGTTTTTTTCTCTCAGTGGTGAAAAGCAGTAAGAAGTAATTGTTGCTGCTTTCTTTATTGTCTTTAAGCTGCAATAACTAGGACCGAAATTGTAAAGAAATGAGAAAAAAAAATAAGTATTTGGGGGTATAATTCAGAGTGTGGCTTCTGATTCTTGCAGAGGTGTGGAACCCTTTGCAAGGCAAAAGCAGAGTTTATAGAGAGCAAGGACTGAATACAGCTCCTGTCAAAGCAAAAGGAAAGATTGCTGCTTCTTTAATGAGTTTTGGATCTGGCCTAGAATTAGGAAAAAATCTCAAGGAAAAAATTCAATCACCGCATTTGGGAAAAAATGTAGATGGGTTGTGTTTACTTTGTGGGTTTTTTACCTTCCATTAAAGATGAGGGAGCGCTTCTAAGAGCTTTGCCCTTGGTTGCTGTGAGCACCCACAGTGCCTGGCAGGGCTGTGAAGTGTCCTGGCTCACATCAGTGGATTCAGGGAATGTGTCAGACCATGGAAACTGGAATTTCTGCACCAGATAAGTGACCCAGTGCTCCCTCCAAGGAGGAGACCCCACTGGAATGCAGAGCTGGAGGACCCTGCTGCTCCTGGGCCACACAAAGCTGTTACAGCAGCTCCTGTGGGGCTCTGCCAAGGAATCCTTTACACTGGAAAGGTTTTGGTGTCTCAGTTTGAAGGAGATGCTTTGACGATGACATGGGGAAAAACCAAAGGCCAAGTTCTGTGACATAGCAGCAAATAAAAAGCAAAGGCAAATGTGTCCAAGCAGAGATCTAGATTGGAATCATTGTGCTGATGGAATTTGATTCTTTGATGCCTCAGGCCATATCTTCCTCCTATTTTCAATCTCTAAATCAGCTTGCAAAGAAAAGTGGTTATGATGGGCATTTGTTATGCTACTGCTGGAATAAAGCAATAGCATTTAGGTTGTCAGTGGATTTTTCTTTTTTTCATCCTCCTTTTTTAATCTTGTTTCCTAAGAAACGAGATTTGTGTGATTGTGCTCTCTGCCTCTGCACCTAACAATCTTTGCACGGAGAGCTGTTTCCTACCAAGTCTCAGTGATGGGGAGAAATTCCTTTACAAGTTTATGAGAGGAGTGGCTGGACAAAGGGCTGCTGCTGAGAAGGTGGCCAGCAGCAAGCCTTGAACTTTCCAGCCCCTGGAGAATCCTCTTTGGTTGCCATCCAGGCGGAAAGGGAAGGCACAGCTCCCGTGTTTCTCATCCTCTTGCTCACATAACAGCTGCTGAACCGCTGCCAGCTGCACTCCCCAGTGGAGGGGAGCAGGGAAGGGATCTCTGGCTGACTCTGACGCCTCGTGCTGTTCAGCTGAGGGCTTGTCAGGGGCTGGGTCACCCGGGGTAACAGCAGGATCCTCGGGAAGCAGCTGGAGACAGGCGAGCTCCAGGACAGCATCCCTGCTCTGCTGGCACGGCCTGGATGGGGCACAGCCTGATGATGGAATTCTGCTTGTGGGAAAAAAGGTGACAAACACAGGAGCAGGATTTTAAGGCCATGGCAACTAAGCCTGTCTGATTTAGGATTTTCTGTCAGTTTATAGCACTCCTCTTTCCTAGCAGAGCTTTCCTCTCAGCTGCTTTGACTGAGGGATGTTGTTAGGCAGGACAGGTGAGGAAGAGCTGGAAACGCTCTCTGGTCTGTTCAGCATTCCCACATGCACTGGCAGAGGATTTAGGTGGTTAGTAGGGACCTTTGAGCAGCATCCCACTCCCCTGGGAGCTGTAAGTAGGGACTGTGCACAGGCTTCTGCCCTTGCAGTGCAAGTCTCTGCCTTTAGCAAATCACTTTCTAAGCACTGTGAGAGCATCACCAAGGACAGGTGATAAGTTCACTTGGCTCAATCATTTTGTCACCCTTCCCTCCCAAAACTAATGGCCATTTTGCTGTTGTCATTTCCCGCAGCTTGTGGTCTCGCTGTTATGAGAGCTGCTGTGTCACAGGCATTCCTCCTCTCCATGAGCCTGGGATCTCCTTTCCCTTAGGCAGCTTCCCTGTGGCTTCCAGCTGTAAGGCTGATAGGGAGAGAGAGCAGTAAACATAGATAATAAACATACATCAGAGAAAAGCACACTGTTCCTGCTGTTTCTCAAAGGGAAATGTCAAGACCCGTGTCCACATGGGGATTGTTGGGAAGAGGATGTGTGGAGGAAATCTCCAGGCTCCCTCTTTTCCTGAGAAGGCTGAAGCAACACTTGCCTGTGCAAAGGGAAAATCCCTCAGCTTGGCTCTGAGCTGGTTCTTTATCAGAAAGGCATTATCTGGGTAATTAGCTCTGCCTGTGAGTACAAATGTCTTTGGCTCTGTCGTGCATGTGAGCCCGGAAGGAGAGGTTTGCTGAAGCATCCCTGAGATGCTCCCACTTCAGCAGCCACAATTCAGGAGGAAGCCTGGTCCTGCCAGCTGACTGTAATTAAAGTGAGGCTTCACAGCCACGTGCTCTCCTCTCTGCTCTTGTGATAATTAAGTGGTTCTGGCCTGTTGCATGATCAGCTTTGCTTTTGGTCCCTGTTTGAGTTTGTCAGTGCAGTGGGACTGGTCCTCTCTTCTGACCCAGCCCTGCCTGTGCAGTAGCAGATACTGGTGCTTCAAAACTGGTATAACCATATCCTGGTGCTTCCTTCCCAGCAGCAGTGGTGGTTTGCAGTCAGCTCACCTATGATGCAGTAACTCCCCTTGCCCTTCAAGCAGTTTGGGTGACAGCAGTAGCTCCTGTTCCCTCCATTTCTGTCCCTGAGATCTTCCCTTGTCTTAGCTATTGCTCCTTTCTGTGCCTTCCTGCTCCCTGCAGCTTTTCCTGGGAAGGACTGTCCTGATGTGGGCAGGGCTGGTGGTGATGCTTCAGTTCCTCAGGCTGAGGCACCCAGGCTCCCAAACTTGGGAGCTTTCCGCAGCAAATCACATCTTCTATTTTGTCCTTCTTTTTGAAGCTCCTTGCCAGAAGGCAGCAAGGACTCAAGATGGGATTGGAGCAAGAGGAGCGTTCTTCTCCTGGGTTGGCAATGGTTGAAAGAGAAATGGATGTACCAATTCCTTTGATTTTTCTCATACATTTTCATTATGGAGAGATAAAAATGGGAAACCTTGGAAGTCCTCCAGGCTTGGTCCTGGCCGTATTTGGAGGTGGTTGTGCACATCTTGGATCCTCTTTCAGCAGACTGTGAGTCATTTGGCTGCCTGTATTGGACACAGAGCTGTGCTAAGTCAAAGATAAGCACTTCTGAGTCTGTCTCTCAACACCATCATTTCTAACAGTTGGTTTGGAGCTGTCAGGCGGGATTGAAACATTGCACAGTGTCTCTTCTCAATTACACGGGTGCAAATCCAGAGGATTTCACTGGATCAGTACCAAAAATAACAATCCTTTCAGCAAGCCATGAACCTGGCTGCAGTGGGAGCACTGATGGGAGTGGAGATGCTTGGGCACGTGGTGCCATCATTGCCAAGAACAACAGCTTGGGAAGGAGCTCACTGGAATGGGCTTGGTGTTCCTGGTATATGTGTTAAAAACAGGAGACCCTGCCTCTGTGGTACTAATGCAAAATTAGTCCTGCAGGACCCCTTGGTTGGTTAGATTTTGTAGGGATCACTCCAGTGTGAATTATATATTGGATGCTTTATTAATAGGAGTAACTGCTTGGACTAGGGGAAGGAGTGAGTGACCATCCCAGCTCCTGGAAGCACAGGTTGTTTTCTTAAGCAAATTGTACCATGAGCTGCATTAAATATTCATCTGCTGGGCCACTTGGGGTGTTTGAGTGGCCCTCCAAAAGGTTATTAATGCACAGAGCAGATGGAGGCACAAAGACTGTTGATTAAATTCAGATTGCCTTTTGCCACCGTTCTAATGCCAGCTGGATGGCAGGAAGAATTACCCTGACTCCTTCCCACACCTCAGCTGCCTGGGTTCAGTTCCCTTCTAATACCCCCTGACAACACAAAACATAAGATGAAGCAGCCTTGAAGTGGCCCTGACATGGAGCATGGTCAAAACATCTTCCAAAAGAGTGGGTCAGCCAGAGGAACCCACCTCTTCCCTCAAGCTTCTGCCCCAAATGCAGAAACTGGGCTCCTTTTTCTTTGTCCATTTGAAAACAAAGTTTTTTTCATGGGGGAAAAAAATGAATGGAACAAATGGTTAGCAGTGCTTTCAAAAAACCCTGGGTCAGTGTCTGTCTGTTGTGGCCACCACTAACCAGGAGCCTTCTCTAGGCTGAGGAGCAGCCCTGATGCCCAGCATACTCCCAGGTCACAGCAATCAGCTCTTTGGCTCTTGTTCAGTTTTAACACTGCTTTTTCTTCTCCCTCCAGGCTATGAAAGTCCTCTCCAAAAAGAAGCTCTTGAAGCAGTATGGATTTCCACGTGAGTATCTCACATTTAGAGGTCTGCCTGTTGTCCTCAGCCAAATCTCTCTGTAGAAACATTGTCTGCAAGGACTGCAGAACGTGGCCTCCTGTGAAAGCTGCCCATGTAGTTGGGAGCTGGTTAAAGTGCAGTGGGTGGTGAGGGGGCAGGTACAGCCACAGGGAAATTCAACAAACTCAGTAATGAGATTCCTGGCTCTGATTTTTGTGAGTCTCTTTGAAGTGGTGACTCTTCCATGTTCACCTAATTAAGCACTGGAAGTTAGGCAGGCTATTCCCTCTCCTTTCAGTCTCTTCTACCCCTGGGATAGCACCTGGGATGCCCCAGACCCATCTGGGAAGCTGGGAGCAGCTGGTTTGAATGGGACTTGGAGATCTCAGTTCCAGGTGGGAGAGTGCAAAGCTTTGGGATGAGAACAAGGTGATGAGATCTTCCAGAATAGCTGGGGGTGTGTGCAGAGGGGCCAGTGGCTGCTCATCCTGTGTGCAGGTGCTGCTGCCAAATGAGGAATTCCTCACTGTGCTGTCACACTTGCAGGTCGGCCTCCTCCCAGAGGGTCAAAAGCATCCTCTGGAGACCAGCCCAAACCCATGGCACCCCTGGACAGAGTCTATCAGGAAATAGCCATCCTGAAGAAGCTGGACCACATCAATATCGTTAAGCTGATAGAGGTGAGCTGCTTCTCCACCTTAAGCTATGCTGAAAAAAGTCTGGTTTGTATTGCAACAAGAGGATTTTTCTTCAGCTGCTCCTACTTCAGCCAGAATTGGTTTAAAATAGATGCTCAGAAATTTAGGCTGGTGATTCCAAGCAAAGTCTTACTGACTGTGGAGGACAAGCTGCACGCTCACCCTGCGCTCTGGGCTGGTGCCCAGGAGAAGGCAGCTCACTGTGCTGGTAGAAATAGCAGTGAGCTTTGATCACTGGAACTTGTGTGCAGACAAGCCTGGGAAGGTGCACAAGTGCAAGGTTTCAGTGCCATTTTCATTATTGACTGAGGTCAGTTTAGGACATGCAGTGCCTTTATTGGTAGGCTGTTTTCCCAAATACAGGCAGAAGCCCAGATTTTTCTGGAGACAGGAAAATCTGTCCTCCAGAACCCCACTCTCTGCAGGACTCTGTAAATATTAGCCTAAATTGTTCTCAGTGTTCTGCAGCTCAGCACAGTATACTGGGAGTGTTACTTGCTTAAAAAAAAAAAAAAAAAAAATTTCCTGCTGTTTTTCACTTTTTTTCCCTCTTTCCCCTTACTTCTTTGTGATCTCTCAGGTCCTTGATGATCCTGCAGAGGACAACTTGTACATGGGTATGTGAGTCTCATAAGCTAACAGAACCATCTGGGCTTAGGCCTAGTGATGCAAGTGACACGTACCAGGACTCGGGGTCAATACGGGAGGAAACTTGTGCCAACTTCAGCAGACTTATTTTTTTTCTGCCAAGTTAAAACGCCTGTAAATGCAGCTGGGATGGAAAGGCCCCGTGCAGTAGGGTAAGGCAACCTTGTGTCAGTACAGCTGTGCACATCTCTTTGCCATGGGGACACTAAAAAGACCTGAGAGCTGCTCTGCCCTCCCCTCTGTAGAGCTGATTCCAGTCCCAGAGCCAGGAGGGGAGAGAAGGCTGCAGGGTGGTTTCCTTGTCCTCCTGCTGTGAAACTTCTGTAGGCTGTGGATAGTGGCAGTGACTCCAGAGTCACTGCAGTCTTGTCTGGGGGTGCTCCCTGTGACTCCTAACCCAAATTTGGGTGAAACATTGAGGGACAGGCCTGGGAGGCCCTGAGGTGCCCTCTGAGATAGGCCAGAGGAGGGGATGACTGACCCTTTTCCATCTCTGCTTCCCCAAACTGTTTCCTGATGAAGCAGGTTCAAAGACTGCTCCTCATGAAATAATTATGGGACACTTTTGAAGCTACCCTGAAGGAGGACTCTGCCTAGCAAATGAAGCAATTTGCCTTTGAAAGGCCACTTTTCCCTTTGGGCTGAAGCCCCAGTGGCATCTGGCAGCATCTCAAAGTGATGGCACTCATGGTGGGGAGGGTGATTGAGGCTGTTGTTTGAAGGCCTGAACTCCTGGGGATTGGAGGAAAGGGGAGAGATGAGGTAGAAAGCTGCAGAGGGGAAAAAAACCCAAACCTAAACCAAGCTCTACCTGTGGAGAAATAGCAGCAACAGCAGCAGGACAGGTGGGGATTCTCCTGGTCTTATTGGAGGTTGTGCTGGTCCCTAAGTGAGGAGCAGTGGCCATGTCCCTGCTGTCCATGTTCCACCACCCCTTTCATCTTCCTGGGATCCCGTGAAGTTCAGGCACATCAAGCTCCTGCCTCTGCAAAGCAGATCTAGAGGAGGTGGTGTTTGCTCCTTGCCTGTGACTGCTGGGATCAGGCACTGCTGTGAGCAATGGGATGGGATGGGATGGGATGGGATGGGATGGGATGGGATGGGATGAGATGTCAACAGGCACTGAGCAACCTGCAAAAGTAGAGAGTGGTTGAATAGTGAAATGCTTCCACAAGCTGCAGCTTCTTCAGCCTGGAGGGCAACACGAGCCAATTCAGGCTGCCCCGTTGTGTTTGTTCCTTCAGAGGATCCCACACTGCTTTGGGGAGGGGATCTGCTCAGATTTTTTGAGAGGTGCAAGAAATCCCCATATAATTCATGGGGAAAGAGCTCTCCTACTCTAGATAAAAGCAGATCCATCTCCTGTTTACAGAGCAGGATCAGAAAAACACTTTTCCCCAACCTCCTAATCAGACACACAAACTCATGTGCTCCACAATCCTCAACTCACACCAGCAAATCCTCTTCAGTCGCTCCCGCCAGCGAGTGTTTGGCTCTGACAAAGCTGTAGCTGTGCTGCTGATTGACACAGCAGAAATGGAGCAGCATGTTCTTACAGCATCTCCTTCACTATCAGCAATTTAGTAGGGATATCACACCAAACACCCTCCCTTGGAGATACAACGGGGCTCAAATCAACGAGGGCTGACACCCAGAGCGGCGGCACCGCGGTTGATAAATTAGCACCCGCTGTCTCCCTGTACAGAGCTGGCAGGAGAGGGGATATTTGTCTGTGCTGAAGGGATGAATATTTTCATTTTGCATCCTCTGGTGTCCTTATCACGGGTGAGGGAAGAGAAATGAGTGGAGATAAATTGATTTTGCAGGTATGGGAATGGATGTGTTTTTGTAGGTGATGAATAACAAATAAGCCCAGGCTGCTCTTCTCATTCATTCATGGTTTATTTCCTTTTCTTGCAGTGTTTGACCTCATGAGGAAAGGGTAAGTAGCCCTCCTGGGATCCCTTCTGTTGAAAATTTTGGTGTTCATCATCAGGTTCCCATGTGAAATGGAGGTTTGATATGTCCAGTGGGGCAAACCCTGTCTGCAGGGGAGGCAAAACCCAGCTGTAGTTGCCTTTGCACTTCTACAGCCTGGAATGATGTGGTGAATAGAAATGGGCTGGGAGGACATGTCCTGGTGCCAGACTCTGATCTGGAAAACAAATGCTATGAAAATTCCTCATCAGGTTCCTGGAAGAAAAGGTTTGAATAGGAATATTCTGCTGGGTTCCAGCCACATTGTGGCTTCCTCTGACACAAGGGGTGTGTGGTTGCATCAAGATTTACTTGCCACCTGCTGCCTTATTTTGCCCTCAGCACTAACCTCTCATGGGAGGTGTTGTGTTGTCACATTTCTTTTGCATAGTAGAAAAAGGGATAAGGTGGTAAGAGCTTCCTTGCTGTTCTTTGCTACACCTGCACTGATTCTGCAGCTCTGCAGTCCCAGTGAGGTGACGATTTCTGTGCCCAGGATGGAGGAGATTCCCAGAGGGGTTATTTTTCTCTCTGGCCCCATGAACAAGCTGCTGGCAAGAGGCTCTCCAGTCTCCCTGGTGATCAGGCTGATGCCTGTCCTGTAGGAGAGGGAGCTGCTGTAAATAGCTGGGGCTGGGGAACCTGTGGCTCATCCAAGTGCAGCCTGGCTGCCTCTGGCAGGAGGCAATTAGACTCCATTAGTGGCTCTGCCAGCCCTGCTCTCACATTATTTCTCCCTGGTTTCAGCAACAGGAAAATGTGCATAAAAGAGGGAGGGAAGGCAGTGGCAGAAAAATGCAAATGGGAGATGAAGGTCATCAATCAAATGAGCAGCAAGGGAGAAGAGGGAAATGCTGCAGAAAGGGTTTGCTGTGGGAAGAGCCACAGAGCCTGGTTTTGGCAATGGGCTGTTCTCTGCCAGGGTTTGGCTTGCCAGGATGGTGTCCCAGGAGCACTCACTCAAATCCAGCTGCAGTCAGTGGATGTGTGCCCAAATGCAAAGCCAAGCTGCTGAGCACAGGCAGGATTAGCCCTCAGTGCAGTGAAGTCTTTATCTCCAGCCATTCATCCATGGGGGAGCAGGAGACTCTGACTAGCTCTTACAGCCTCTTTGCCCTCAGCTTTCAGCAGGCACAGGCAGAAGAGGGGCTTTTAGAGGAGACTGTGCATCCCTCAGCAGTGGCAGCATTCAAAGAAAAGGAGAGGAGAAGCTGACCAGGTAACCTTGGCTGTTCAGGGCTGAACCCTGAGCAGCTGAATAGGTTTTTGAAGCAGTTTAGCACAATACACTGAAAATACTCCCATCTAACCTCTGAGCCAGTGGTTCATGTCTGGATTCTGCCTCAGTGCAGACCAGCTGCACAATGATATTGCATCAGGACTGAGCCCCAGCAGGCAGGACATGCAGTGCACAGCAACAGGCACTGTCCCCACTGCTGACTGGGATCTCATGGGAATGCTGGTGCTCACAGCCATGAGCAGCTTTAGCAGGAAGCCAAAGGCCAGCTCCAGCTTTGTTCTTCTCCCATTAGGACTGTCAGTGAGTAGTGTTTGACTCATTTTGTGCAGACATCAGCAGTTAATCCTGATGATGATGATGAGGGCTCTGTGGCTCATGCTGGCTCAGGGGCTATGCAAAGCCACCCATCACTAGCCAAGCTCAGTAACCAAAGCATCACCACGTCCAGAAAGAATGCACACACCTCCCTGCTGTGCCACAGCACCCAGAGCCTTTTGGGAGCCTGGTCCTCAGTGCTGGGGCGTGGAGAACAAACTCCTCCAGCAAGGGGTGTTACTGCCCTTCTGCAAAGCACTGAGCTGCTGTCCCTCTTCCCAACAGGCCTGTGATGGAGGTGCCGAGTGAGCAGCCCTTCAGCGAGGAGCAGGCTCGGCTCTACTTCCGAGACATCGTCCTGGGCATCGAGTACTGTGAGTACCCCAGAGCTGGCAGAGGGTGTGCCTCAGCTCCCTGCTCATCTTGACACTGGGGGAGCTGTTGGATGAGCCAGGGAGGGCCCCTTGGATTGCCTGGGATGGGGTTGCTGTTGGAGGTGGCCCCTCTCAGCTTGGGTTTACCCAGGAAGTGTCACAGAACCCTTAGAAAGGACATTAGGCAAATAGTTTTTTCTTCCACCTATTTCTTTTTTATTCTTCTTATTTATTCTTATCTTTTTTCTTAAATTTATTTCTTTTTGGAGGCTGTCTTTGAAGCAGTAGCAGAGGCAGAAAAAGGGTGTTTGCAGTGTCATGGATTCAGTCAGCTTCAGCTGGAACAAATCCCTGTCTCTAGCTTAGCAGGGCAAGCACTGGCCGTGGCAGAACTGGTGAGCAGCACAGGAAGGATGTCTGTTCTTGCCCACCCCCCTTGCAGAATCCATCTGGGTGACTCCCTGTCACTCTGTGCCCTCCCAGGAAGGTGGTGGATCAAGTTCCCAGGCTCTGCCCAGACTCCAGAGCAGAGTTCCTCTTTGTAGCCTGTTTGATTATTGTCACCTCCTTTGGTGACATCTTGTCCCTCTGTGGCTGAGGCCAGATTCACTGCTGAGTGCCTGTTCTGCAGAGTACAGGGAGGCCACCATAGGCCTGTGAATCTAGCAGGGATTTTTCTGGCCCCATTGTCATTGACATGTCCCTGCTGGCACAAACCTGTGATGACCAGGATGGTCCTGGAATATCTTAGGTACAGAGATAGGACCAAAGCTCTTATGACTGGAAAATTATCCTGGAAAGGAGTGCTGTGGCAGAGGCTTATAAAATCCTACGTGTCAGGGAAGTGCTGGACAGGAAATGAATCTTTTTTGTCTCTAAAAACACAGTAACTAATGGGTAGTAAACAAAATAATCAGGTAGCCAGTTTAAACCAGAAGGATTTACTCACTTGGCTTCAACCACTGAGAGAGAACAAGTCTCTGAGCATGATGGGCCTTGCTGAGGCAGAGGAACATGGTTTGCAGGGTCTCAGTCCCTCTCCACATTGAAATGCAGCACCACCTCATTTTTTGTCTAAAACCAGCAGGGAATAAAAGCAAGTCTGACAGTCCAGAAGCTTCCAGGTGCTGCAAAATTAGTCAGGTCACCCCAGAAAATTGGTAGAAATTAATATATGAATAGGAATCTCAAGACTGTCTTTGAGTAGAGCTTGAAGGATGAAGTTGCAGCTTTTTATATTCCCATTAGCATTCAGATTGCAGCAGAGCCTGTGTGCCTCAGCTGGGAGATCCAAGCTCTGCTGTGCTGGATGCTGCTGCAGGAACAGTTCCTGCTCAGAGGAAACTTTGAGTTTCATAGATTGGGAAAAAAAAAAAAAAAAAGCCCAGCAAAGTGTGGGTAGTCTTAAGCAGAGGGAGTGAAATTCAACAATAAATTATAGAATGCCCAAGCACTCTCAGCAACAGGAACAATAGGATGCTTTATTTTGGACCATTGAGTAACCACTTATTTTATTAGCAAATGAAAGTTAAAAATGGTGTTCTCTCTGAACTGCTGGGTAAATGCATGGCAATTATTATATAATTAAGAGGAAAAGTGCACCATTTGTGCATGTTGAAGGAAGAGTGTTGCCAGGCAATCCAGAGATTGCAAGGTAATTTTAATGTAAGCATCCATAATTGTTGTGTAATTTGGGAGGCTCAATAACCATGCAACTGCTTGAAGCTCACAGCAGCAAATGCAGCATTGTTGGGTGGATTTCATCAGGTTAGAAGTTGTAAACTGGATTCCTGTTGGAGCCTGAAAGGTGTTAATGGTGAGCAGGAAGGGGCTGTAGAAGCCAAGGTGCTGGGAGACGTTTTAAATCACCTTTTAAATCAGTGGTGGTGGCATGTCTGTGTGTCTTTGGGGATTGCTCTCACTGATTTTTTCATGGAGTTTGCCTGGGGTGGAGGCCTTCTGCAGGAGGTCTGGCTGTGGGGGAAGTTTGGAGGGAGGCAGCAGTCCAGGTGATGAGAGTTGGGTGGGAGACAGGGACAGAGCCCTGGAGAGAGCCAGGAGCTCCCTGATCCAGGCAATGGCACAGTGCTGTCACCTGCTTTTGGCTGGGTTTCTGGGTTTAGTGTGTCTAATAGCACACTTTGATCCAAGCAGAGTCCCAGCCTTGTTCACCAAGCAGTGAAGAAATGGGTTCAAGGTCTGAGAGTCAGGGAGATCTGCCCGTGGTCGAGTCTCCCTTCCTCTGGCCCCTACAGTGCTGGGATTTTATTTGGAGTTTAGGCATGGTGATATTAATGTTCTGTTTTAGAGGCCCTGCCTTAGGCCTGGGCTCTGTGGTGTGGGCTGTGTCAGGAGTTGTTTCAGCACATACAAACTGTAATTGGGCTCCTGGTGAAATGGGCCCTTCAAAGGAAAGTGATTTTGCTCCCAGTTTCAAGACCTGTCCAGTACTGCTGGCCCTGCACAGCCCCTCAGGAACTGGGGAGGCAGTCTGGGAGTGGTAATTCCAGAGTGTGCTCAAGTGCTTTGGATGGGAAAGTTGACTGGATTATTTGTGTCATTAACTAAAGCATGTGCTTAAGCATCTCTGTGAATTAGGGATATGTGCAATTTCCAGCCTTTCCACTTGTAACTCCCCTCTAGCAGTGCTTGGCTGGGGTTATTTCAACTTCAGTCTCCCTTCTAGTAAGGCAAACTTTGCTGTCGTAGAGGTACTGAGCAGAAATGTGTGTGCTGGGTAGGAAATAGTCATCATGCTTCAGCAAAAGACATGAGGGATATGCCAGGTGGGTATCCCAGTTTGATTTTTGGATTGGGACATGAGAATCTTCATTTAGTAAGAGCTGAGTAAGGAATAAGAATAAGCAGCCAAAAGGGCTGTGTGGGCAGGAGCCTGGCTGTGACACTGGCCAGGAGCAGACAGTGCAGAACACGCACACAAGCGTGACCCAGGGGAAAACCCTGCTGACTTTGACAGTCCAGATGAAGCACAGTGACTGTCCCTGCTGCTCTGGAGCTGCAGGCTCAGTATTCGAGTCACGAGAAGCTAAAACAGTTTCTGTCAGCCTGGCTGAAGAAGAAAAAACCTTATTTCCTGCAATCTCTGGTGAAGTCTGCAGTTCTCCTCCTGTGGCTGTGTCTAAGAGGGGGGCAGTTTTGGTGTCCCCTCTGCAGAGGAAGGCTTGTCTCTCTGAGCTGTGGGGTTGAAGGGAGGGTAATGACAAGCAGCTAAAGGCATTGGGGAATTACCCTTCCAGCAGCAGCTCTGCAGGGAGAACTGCAGTGACCCAGGGCCCTGCATGCTGAGCCTGGAGCCTCAGCAAAGGCTCTGGCTTTTCAAAGCTGGATTTTCTGAGATAAGGCTTATATCTCATATCCCATATCAATATATGGGCATAATTTCCATTATCTTAAAAGAAAATTTAAGCAAATGAGCCAACACAGTGTCTTCTGAAGAATATCTAGTGCAGGGTAAGTCCAGGGTGGGTGCACTAAAGCACCAGTGGTGTAGATGGTTTTATCTGCTTTGGCTCTTGGCAGAGGTGAGTTCCTCAGGTTGGTGTGGGTCAGCAGAGCTGGGATATGAGTCTGTGGTGGAGCTGCTGCATGCTCTGTAATTCCCAGAAAGCTGCTTGCTCCCATGTGGGAAATGGGGATCTGCCTCTTCTCTGTCTCCTGCCTCTTGCCTGTCCAAGTTTGGAGCTCCTCAAACAGAGCTTGTTGGGGTGAGAGCTACAGCTGCAAGCTTCTGGGTGTTATAAATGACACCACCAGGAGAAGAGAGGCTGGCTTGTGTTTTATCACGTGCAGACAAGCTCTCCTTAGCTGATAGAAACCAAACAAAAAACCCTTTCATGAGCTGCAAGTGTTGCTGATAGTGATCAATGAGGACTCTGTACAACAGTGAGAGTAATTAGCTGATGGAGAAGATCAGAGAGATGTGCTGGGGCCTCTTTAGATCAGGCAGTTTGATTTTTGTTGTTTGATGCCGTTCTGTGTCTGCTGGGGGTTGGGAGCAGCCCCTGGCACAGCCTGTGCAGGTTGTTCTGTCACAACCCTTGTGCCCTGCTGCCCTCCCTCCCCACGCTGCCCTGGACCATGGCAGGGAGCTCTGCACGTCCCCTGTGGCTGGTGATGAGGCTGTGCTCCTGTGGGCTGGAGGACAGGAGCAGAAGGACAGCACAGACAAGGTTACCTGTCTCTGTTCCCTGTTGCTTCCTGCTGGCAGTACCCACAGCACAGCCTGTGCCAGGAGCACGGTGCTCAGCTGAGGATGGAGCACAGAGAGGGAAGCTGAGCTGCTCTGGGTAGCACTGAGGTGCAAAACTTGGGTTTAAGCAACTTAGCCAAGTGGCAGAGGCTTCATGGGTGCAAGAGAGCAGCAGAACAGTGGAGAGCTGACAGCATCACAGCTGGGATCCTCCCCCTGATGCCATGAGCTGAGCATGGGATGGGGCTGCTCCCCCTGGACAGCCCTGTCCTCCAGCCCTTCCTCAGCAGAGCACTGAGGATGAGTCTTGATCTGTTTTGAGCTCTGTCTGGTGGTGCAGCAGTTTCCTTGGGAGGGTGTGAAATCATTTCTTTGCTACAGGGGCAATGTGAGAGTAATACTAAGCAGACTCTGCAGTAGCACCATATGGATTGCTTTAGCCCTTGAATGGGAATGGGATTCTGGTTTTAATCAAGCAGAATTCAGCAGTGGCCTCAGTAAATAGCAGGACGTGTCAGTGCATTGCAAAGTTTTATATGCATAATTTTTAAATGAGCTTTCAGCAAGTTTGTGTTAATCTGCTGGGTCTCCAAGATTCCCAGAAAGGAATGCAGTGAAAAACACCTTTTCTAAAAGGAGTAAGGAGCAAGATCTCTTTTACCCCTTCTATCTGTGCTTCCTCTGGGTCTTCACTCCCTGTCAGTGGATTTGTTGGCAGACAGTTCCCAGGCATTTGCCCCTGAGTGAAGGGGAAAGTCTGTGGGATCTAGAATGAGGAGTGTTTGTGAAACAGCTGTTTCCTCCCACCAAGGGCAGCTGAGGGACTGAGCAGAAAGGAATGATGTGGTGTGCTCAGCAGGGCTTTGCTAAGAGGCAGGGAGGCAATGGGAGAACTGTGGAGACCCGCATAGGAGGGAACAGCTAGGAGTCAGCTGGCTCAGCAGCAGAGAACTTCCCCAAAATCTGCCCTTTTCTCCAGTCCCATCTACTGGAGCACAGCTAGCTGCTATTACCAACTCAGTTCAAACACATTGTAGTGAGGAAACAAAACAAAAAGCCCTAAAAAGCCAGATTTTCGGGAAGTTTTTAGGCAGTTTTTTGGGCAGTTTTTTCATATGGGCTTGAATTTGAGCAGCATTCTCACCTGGAAACTCAAATATTCATTGGCCAAATGAGCCATTGTTTGATGGCATTGATTTTTGCAAAGGATGTGTTTCTAATCTCTTTGTTCTTTGTTTCTGTGCCCAGCAGTCAGCAGTGTCCAGACCTGCTGGGGACCAGCAGAAATGGGCACTGAGGAAACACGTGGCAGCTGGAAAACAGCTCACAGTGTTCCTCAGCTTTCATTAGATGGTGCAGAGGTAGGGAATGTTTTGCAAAATACAGTTATATGATAGAGAAAATGGTTTGTGGTTTATTTTGTTTGTGGTTTTTTACTTGCCTACAAGGAAGAAACAATAAAAAGCCTGGAGTTCTTGCTTGCCTTAATTTTCACAGAACAAGCTCCAGGGATGTATTCATGTGGTCCATACTTGTTTTGGGGTTTTTTTAGAGATTTTGGGAATCTTAGCCCTGTGGTATCAGGCATGACAGCAGACACCTGCCTGAAAGGCAGCTCATCATCTCTTGAAAGAAAACTTCTCTTCCCCCCTCACTCTTATTTCCTCTCCTTATATTACCATAATGAAATGTAAGCTTGCCACCAGCTCTGCTGCTGAGCAGATGTCTCCTCCTAATTACTGTTGTTGCAGGGTTTTGGTGTTTATCCTGTCTAGGCAGGCTGTTACAGCATTAACTGCCTCCCAGTACAGCCTGGCCATGCAGTTGGTGCACATCTGGAAGAAGATGGAAGTACTGGTGCTCTCCAGCAAGTTTTTGTCTGCTGGATCTCCAGATCAGCTCTTTACTGTGCCAAGGACAGCATCCCCCAACAGTGCTTTAAACTGAGGAGAGGGACTTGCAAAAAAAAAAAAAAATCTGCAAGTGTGATTTCCCCTCCCCAGGCACGGTCTGCTGGAAAGTTGGCTTGAAGAGAGCAGAAAGTTAAATGAAGTTTGTTCATTCTTGGTCCTAAAGCACAAAGTGGGATGCTCCACAGGGCAGGCTGCCTTTGTGGCAGTGTGTTGGTCAGGTTTGTAAAGCAGGAAAGGGTTAGATCAGCATTTTCCTCCACCCAATGAGTATTTCCTAGGAGATATGAAAAGTGCTCATGGGGAGGTGTAAAAACAAACATGCTCTGTTTGCAAGAAGGAAATGTGAAAACAGTGGTTGGAGCCAGGGGAGGACGGAGGCCAGGGGGTCCTGGTCCTCTGGGGAGGGCAGGATTAGAGAATTTCCTCCTCCTCCTTCAGTAAAGTCTCCTGGGTTTTCTACAGTTCTGCTTTTGGGGTCATTTCATGTTCTGAAAGTTGGTGGTTTTTTTAATTTTTCAAGTTCTCCAAGTTCCTGAGAAATCAGCCACTTTCCTACAGCTCTCTGCTTCGCTCTGTTGGCCTGGAAATGTCTTTCAACTGCAATATTGCACAAGAGGGGTGGTTTTTATTCTGGTTTACAGTGCTGGGAATGCAGTGCCTGAGTCTTGCACCTTTATTTTCACCTCCTGGAAAGGTTTCCCCCGGGTGTCTTGGCTGCCATGGCTGACCATGCTCCCTTTTTTGGGTGTTTTTCAGTGCACTACCAGAAGATCATCCACCGGGACATCAAACCTTCCAACCTGCTCTTAGGAGACGACGGCCACGTCAAAATCGCGGATTTTGGTGTCAGCAATCAGTTTGAAGGGAATGATGCCCAGCTTTCCAGCACAGCAGGGACACCAGCCTTCATGGCACCAGAGGCCATCTCACAGACTGGCAAAAGTTTCAGTGGAAAGGTAGGTCTGTGCTCACAGCTGGAGTCTCTGGGACCCCCAGGCATGGCACAAAGGGCAGTGCCACACCTGCACCCTGACTGTGGCACAAATTTGGGCTGTCATTTAGAAAAACTGGAGCTCTGATTCTCTCCAGTCCAGGCTCAGCTCACATGGGTTGTCCTGTGCAGTGGGCAGACACATGCCAGAGCCCTTTCCCTGCCCAAAGGGAAAGGAGGAAGCCTTTGATTCCCTTCCAAAACAATCAAGAGGCACAGGGGGCTGCTGAGCACCAAGGTCATATCTTAATTCCTTGGAAGGGGTAGGGTCTAATAGGGATTTTTTTTTTTTTTGTCTGGAAAACTCTTGAGGTTCAGCCCTGAATGGTGTAATTTCCTGTAAGAAGGGGCTGCTTGCTGGTCACAGCAATGCTTGGCCCAGCACAGCCCTCATTCCTCAGCGGTGCAAGAGCTGCCCTTAGGAACCCAACTTCAAAATGACATAGCAAATGTTAAATCCATACAAATAGTGTTTTCTGAACTGGTGGGAAAATACTCAGATCACCTGTGTTGCCTCTCCTTTACTCTCTCTTCTTGCTTTTTCAGGCACTGGATGTGTGGGCCATGGGAATCACCCTGTACTGCTTTGTTTATGGGAAGGTAAGCTGCCTTTCAGCTGCTGGAGCCCTGCACTGCACTGTCTGCCTGGCTTTTGGCTCTTTCCTTTCCAAATAAAGGCAGATATTAGAGACAAAGACCTAAGCTCAAAAATCCCCCTGCAGATCAGAAGGGGCTGATGCTGTGATCTGTGGAAAGGATCATTTCCAGCATTGGGCCCTGAATGTGGAGCCATTGTTTGTGCCACAAACCCAGAGCAGCAGCAGCAGCAGTTTGTGGGGGGTTTATCCACATTGCCTGCATTTAGAAATGAGCCAGAGCGTGGATAGAGGGGTAGGATTGATCCCAAACTGCTGCGGCGTTTCTGGAACCTGATTACAGAAATCTCTGTCTGCCAAGGCTGAGTTAGGACTGATGGGGGGTCCAGTTTGGCAGAGACAGCTCTTCAGTGCTGCCTTCTGCACACTCCATGTCCTGTCCTGGCTTTTCCCTCATGTCCCAGCCGTGCTGGCCCAGGATGAGCAGTACAGCAGGTGTGTGCAGTCTCTGTGGGCAGGAATGTCACCTGAACCTCTGTCCAAGCACACACCACACAGGCACCAGGCATCCAGCTCTGGGGTCAGAAGTGGCCAGGGAAGGTGACAGAGGCAGTTCACCTGGCAGGCTGGATGAAGGAGGGCATTCCAGTCCAGTTATGTATTCCCGAGGTGCCTCTGCTGTTTTTCTGAATTTATTTTCTAATAAGGAATGAATTGATTTATTGTGTGTGGGGAGGTTTAATTTATTTCCATCTCTGTGTAAAACCTAGGGAGTGCAGAGGTTGTACTTGGTGTTAAATGAATGACAAATGCCTGAGTGATGCCAGGATCTTGGACAACTGGAAAACTTCTTGTTTGTTTTACAGTGCCCTTTTATAGATGAATATATTCTGGGTCTTCATAACAGGATCAAGACCAAGCCTGTGGAGTTCCCAGAAGAGTGAGTAAACTTTACTCTGCTACTGTAAAATAAAGTTCAGTTTTCAGCATCATTCTCTGTGTGGCACAGGGGGCACCATGGAGGGATGGACATGAGTGGGTGAGGTGCTCTGTGTTCTCCTGGGTCCTTCATGAGGGTTTTGTGCTGGTGCTGTTGGGGTGTTGTTAAAAGTGCTTCTGCTCTTCCTCTGTCCTTGTTGTGCAGACAGGGACTAAAGGAAATGGCCCTTTGGAAGTGAAGGGATTCCTGGATCTAGGAAGTTCTGCCCCACCTACTTGACTCTGGAGATGCTGGATGCATGGTTTGGTTGGGGTTTTCTTCCTCCCCATGCAGCAGCCACCAGAATGATTTCATTTATTCATTTTTAAAAGCAGTGTGGTGATAAACCTCGGTCTTGGTCTGAGTAAACACATCCCTCTCCTGTGGGCTTCCCTTGGAGCCAGGGGAGCTGTCTGGTGGAAGGATGCTTGTCCTGAGACAACCACAGCTCAGCAAATCCCACTCCCCCAGCCCTGCCCAGGAAAACATGGGCTTGTCTTTTGCAGAGAGGGGCCAGTTATGAAAAAAGCAGGAATTAATTCCCCTGTGTGCTGCTGCTCCCAGCCTGCTTTGGTCAGTGAAGGAAACGCCCGTGGGGCACAGTGGCAGTGCTGGGATGGGCAGGGGAGAGGGCCAGCTGTGGTCACAGCAGTGCAGGGGACAAGCCAAGGCCACTCACGTGGCATTTGAGCAGGGGAAGCTCAGGATTGAGGTGAGGAGTGTTTGTGGTGCTGTCAGAGTCTGGCAGGAGCTGAGTCATGCTGGCTCCATGGTCACCATTCCTGTAGCCTCCAGTGCTGGCCACTCCTCAGCATTCCCTCCAGCTTCAGGCCTTTGGTGACTTTCTGTTGGTGAAGAATTTGTTTCCCCTGGCTCCTGACAGATGAAGTAGCCAGAGCTGGACTCTTTGTTTTCCTTCCCAAATCCACACAGTAGCTAGGCAAAGAATTCTTGGCCTAATTGCTCATTCTAATAAAAATGTATAGGTAAAATTACTTGATTTGGAGCAAGCACAAATGAAAACGCTAATGAGAGGCACATGTGGTATTAGAGAGGAAGGGAGGGATGTTGTCAGGCAGCCTGTGGGATGTGCATGTAAAGAAGGCAAGACTTCTTTGTGAAATGCTCACTGAATTTTCACATTACAGTTAAGGGCTGGGCCTCTACCTTGGCAGTCTCAGACTTCTGATTCCACAGAACGTGATGGATACTCAGAGTGCCCTCCTTTAGACATCTGGGCTGCCTGAGCCCTGGCTCCACAGACATTAATTACCCCTGCACTGAGGAGACACAGCCACTGCAGACAGCTCAGCCACCCCTGCCCAGCTGCAGCCCAGGGGCCTCAGGAGCTCCAAGGACCTGGGGTCTGGCCATGTAGATGGCACCCACAGCCCCCAGTGTGGGGAGGGAGCAGTTCTGGCAGCACCAGGTGACTGGACTTGAGGCTTTAGGAGCACAAAGGCTGGTCATGCTCCACTGCTGGAACAAGATTTTGTCTTGACAGCACTGCAGCCAAAAAAACCCCAAACCTGTTTATGTTCCCCTGGCAGTTTTCTCCTTTGCTCAGGGCTGGCAAAACTCCCACCCCTCCCTCAGCCACCATGTATTTGGGTTAGCAGTCAGCTTATAAGTGACTGTTCCCATCTGCCTCTGCAGTAAGTGATTAACATTTAATGGGCTAACTGGCTTGTGCTGAGATCCATTCCTTCATTCAGGCATTTCCTTCAGCGATAATTGGGCTGCATGATTTATGTGGATTCCTCAGTGACCTGTTCTCCCAGTCTAAAAAAAGCTGCACCCCCTGATTAGGTTGTTGCAGGAGCTGAGGGTTACTAGGTGTTGACAGCCGTCCAAACCACATCTATTTGTTAGAGGCAGCAACAGAGACATGGAATTCACTGGAGTGGATCCACCCTGACCTCCCACAGAATTAGCACCTCTCTAGTGAGGAGTATTTTGGTTTCAATTTATTTCACCATGGCTACAAAAGACACATCCCTGTTTGCAGACAGCCCATGGAAACTCATTGCCTGTTTCCTGACAACCTTTAGGACAGATGGGTCTGACTGTACCAGTGTCACCATCCTGTCCCTTCCCTTGGAGATGCCAGGATAAATATTTATGGCACTGGAGTTCTCATTCATGTCACTGAGTCCTTGGCATGACACGAAGCAAATGGGCTTAGCTCACACCCTGAGGATCCTGGCATGACTAAAAAGCAAGCTGAAGTTTCTCTCCAAACGTGTCAGCAGAGCCAGCAGCTCTGCCTGGTCCCTCCTCATGAAGGCCAGGACAAAGTTCCCTGACCTGTGGGCACCCTGTAAAGTGATCTGTGGTGCTGGCAGCCCTCCTGAATGGATGCTGAGCTCTGTGCTTGGCATTTTCCTGGGAGCTCTTACGGGACTGTGGCTGTGAGAAATCCCATACAGGGATTTTCAAATGAAAAATGCCATCAGGCACAGTGTTCACACCCTGCTGCAGACTGGAGAGAGGGAAACCAGAGACAGGGTGATGTCATCTGTTACCTGGCCATAACCCACCTGACACATGGTGATCCTCTTTATGGAGCTTTAATCCTGTGATACGTAGAAATCAGCCTGGTGCCCAGAAATGTTGAGTGGTTTTATATTCTATTTATTGTATTTTAAGTAAAGCTGTTGACACTTTGGCACGGAGCTGATTTGAGGTATTTTTAAAACAACATCCCACCTGCATCAGTGTGGTGTCTGGAAAGAACCTGTTTGTTCTGACCTGCTAAATGCACTTCACTGCCCATGGCTGTTCCTCTGGAGCTCTTCTCAAGAGCAGCACCATTCTTTCCATTCCAGCTAAAATTGTCACCCCAGTCCCTGAGGACTCATCCTGTTCTTCCCCTTGTCTGGGCTCTATTGCCTGTGTACAGCAGAGCCTTGATGCAGCTCTATTTAGACTTCAAACTGAACCCCCTTTTTGCCTCTGAACCAGCAGCATTTCCTTGTGGTTGTTTGTAAAGATCTCATAGCCAAAGCCCAAATAAAATATTCATGAATTATTAAGCAGCAGCTCTGTTTTCATCAGACTGAAATATCCCTTGCTGTGCTGTGGTTTTCATTTTGGTTTGTGATAGTTTATTCCCTTCTCTGTCTGAGGAGGGGGGTGCAGAGGAGGTGGGCACAGCACCTGCTGCTCAGGGTTGTTTTCAGTCTCAAATCCAGCCTTCCTGGGGAGTCACATTTTATCCTGCTAAGTTCCATCTCCATGAAGAAACACAGTTCTTCAAGAGTCATTTGTGACACAGACTTTCAGCTGCCTAATTCAGTCAGATGCTGGCATTTTGCTGTGCAGTAGCACTTTGATCATTCAGATCTAGTGCATTTTAAAGGCATCTCCTGCATCATTAAGCACAGGAGTCACTGCAGCCTTTGGGCTGCAGGACCAAGGGCTCCATGTCAATAGAGTGGCTTCTGGGTTCAGGTGCTCTCACATTTAGATCTTGGAAATAGTGTTTAAAATTGAGATGTATTTCTCTTATTTGTGTTATTTGTTCATTCCCTCCTTTTGTTACCTCAAGGCTGAGCTTTGCAGGTAGGGAATACTGAGTTACAGGCTGCCTGCAATCAGGGCTGTGGAAGCAATTTAAATAACACAACCTAGAAGCTTAGCTGGGAACTTGAACGTCAGATGGGGCTGTTTTATCCAGCATACAGTTGCTCATGATGCAGGTTCAGCAAATCAAGCTGTGACACTCTTGATTCACAGAGTTCAACTCCAGTTCTGCTCTCAGGAGCACTTTGTTGTTCCAAATCTCCCCTCAGAAATTCCCCTATGTGGTGCTTTCTTCAGGGATGTCCTCAGACCCATTCACATGATCCCTCATCCTGCATTTTGAGCGTGTGCTGTTGTGTTAGGGGGCAGAACAGGATAACCAAGCCCCGTAGCAGTGACTGTGGTGCCTTCCTTTTTCAAGCCAGGTTGCAGGGAAAATATCTCCTGGGCAGAGCAGATTTTCTACCAGGTAACTGCAGCAAGAACTGTGCTTTGCTGCACTTAAAATTCCCTTGTTAACTGTGTGCTGCTGTTTTCTTCACTCAGAGCACAGATAAGTGACGAGCTCAAGGAGCTGATACTGCGCATGCTCGATAAAAATCCAGAAACAAGGATAACAGTCCCTGAAATAAAGGTAAGTTGGACCTTGATATTAGAGTTTTTAGTCTCAGCTGATTTTATGTACCTTCTAATGAGGCAGAGCTATTCCCAGTGTTTGTGAGCTGTCTCTAGCACCCTCTCTTGGAAAGGGAGAGCACTCATTTTGCAGCCACAGCTCCCATCACTGCTTCTTGCTTGGGGAATATTGACAAAAGCTTTCTTGTTTACTTATTTAAATGAAAATTACTTAAAAGCTGGCTGATCTCAGCGAATCCCTGGGAGAATCAGCGTTGTCAGGGGAGCTGCTTGCTGCAGAGCCTGGGCTGGCAGTGTTGGATGTGCTTTCCAGGGACTGGATGCGTGTTCCTCCTCTGGTCCTTGTGTGGCCCGTGGCCTCAAGGCAGCACATTTGTTTCTATCACCATTATTTGGGAGGTGTTTAATAACAGAAAGAATGAACAGGCCTGGCAGGGCACAGTGCTTCACAGGTTGTGCTTTCATTCTGGGTTTGCATGGGCTTGCTGTCCTCCTGTCACCCCTCACCAAGGCTTTAGACCTGCTGGAGGATCTCAAAATTTCCATGGAGATCCATCAGCATGCTCTACAGGGCGAGCTCTGCTTTGCTTTTTCCCAAGCCAACTCCAGTATTGCCACTAAGGCTGACAGTAGAAAGGCTGAGCTTCACGAAAAAATCATGACATCCCTTCCCTCCATGCCCAGGAGGCCAGAGCCAGGTTTGGAGCTGTATTTATGGGATTTCACTTGACAGCCCTTGCAGGCACCCTGTAAGAGCCTGTGGGTAGAGGAGCAGAGCTGGCCCTTGTCCCTGGCTGCGCACAGAAGATGGCTGGTGTGCTTGGGGACTTGCCTTGGATGCTGAGGATGGGTCAGGCTGGGCTCTGCTCAGCCCATGCCCTCGGGACAGGGCTTTCTTCCTGTTCACAGCCAAGAACCCATCCCATGAGAGCCAGCAAGGAAAGGGGGCTTTGCTCTGCTGCATGCAAGACAAAAAAATGAAAATGCTCCAGATAACTCAGGTTTTCAGAGTGTTTCAAACTTGATTCAGAGTCTTCCATGGTGCTGGTTGGTGGCAGCAGGTGTGACAGCACTGAGCCAGACTGCAGCCACTTCCAAGGAAGCTGGTTAAAAACCCATCTGCAGCAGTGGGAGATGGAGCAGTGCTGACAAGTGGCCCTGCAATGAGCCCTGTGCCCCACTCCTGTCCCAGCCCAGAGCTGTGTGTCCCCCGTGCAGGTGCACCCGTGGCTGAGCAGGGGCGGCGCGGAGCCGCTGCCGCTGGAGGAGGAGCACTGCTCCGTGGTGGAGGTCACCGAGGAGGAGGTCAAGAACTCCGTGAAGACCATCCCCAGCCTGCCAGCCGTGGTACGTGTGAAATCCACCACATCCTCTGAGCTGGGGGCTCTGCTGAAGCCTCCAGCTGGTGGAGGAGGTTTGGAGAGGGGACACGTGTGTTGCTGGCATGAAATCTTGGCCTTTTGACCCAGGGTGAACTTCTTGTGTCTGAGTACTGCAGCAGCCTGACTCTCTCAAGCAGCTGTTCTGTGGGTTCCGTGCTCTCTGCTGCAGCTCTGTAAAATGTCAGCTGAATTATTAAAGGAGCTGTTGTTACTCCTTTGAACCAGCTTCCAGGAGTCAGTCCTGCTGTTCTCACTGGTCTGTTCTCTTCCCCAAAGATCCTGGTGAAGGCCATGCTGAGGAAGCGCTCCTTTGGGAATCCCTTCGAGGTGCAGACGAGGCGGGAGGAGAGATCCATGTCTGCTCCAGGGAACCTGCTGATGTAGGTACCCACAGCCACGCCTGGCCTGTGGGGAGGGAGGGAGAAGCAGTTTGCAAATCTTTCCTGTAGGATTTAAAGACAGAACACCCTTCTGCATCAAACACTGGGGATAAAATCTACCTCAGGTCCTCTCAGATTGAAATACAGTGTACTACTGCAGCCTAAAAACTCTTTTAGAGATGCAGTTCTCTTTGGAAGATGGGTTTGGCCTAAACACATATAAGGTGCTAAATTTGAGTCTGTTTCTTTCACCTGTTCATTTATAATGCTGTGATCAAAGATCCATTAGAGAGTGATGAAGTAAAATAAGTTTAACTGAAGTCTAGTTTGGATATATATTGGAGGATTTAATTCTTCTCTCCTTTCTATGGACAACAGAAATGGTACCAAATGAGCAGTTTATGAAGGTATTTTAATTCAAAATGAGATGATGGGATTTTACCTGTGGTCTGGGGCCCAAGTCTGGGCAGAGACATCATGGTCAGACAAAAGAGAACACTTTGAAATTGCTTTTTCACTTGAGAACACATACAGTATTTTTTTCACAGAGTTTTCTGCCAGTTAATGAAATAGTGGATCATATTGCAGGGGGATGCTTTGGAGATTGGGTATAAATTACTACACTGGGATTAAAAAGGGAATAGAAGTCTTTATGACTAGTAGATTCATCAACAGTTTTTAACCATGATGGTGTGTACAGGGATGGAGAGAGAATTCTTCTGTCCTTTACTTGGTTCTTACTCTTTCTCCGTCATTTTTGTCACTGGTTCCTTTCAGAGCCAGGATTCTGGTCCATCAGTCCAGTATATAACAGCTGGATCAGTAGCCTGATCTGGGACAACTATTTTTTTATAAATAAAGTTCTCACCCCACAGGATCTATGAGGCTGTGGCTGACAACAAAGCTGTGTTGTCCCAAAATGGTTATTTTCCTCCCAGAATCCCAGTACCATTCCTAGCAGACTCCCACGAGGTTGTGCTGGGTCTCACTGCACCACTGACAGCACAGAGGAGTCTCTCTCTGTCTCTCACAGGTGTGTGGGGATTTAAGGGCTCAGCTCAATTAAGCATAATAATGTTCTAGGTCCCCAGCTCTCCACTGGGGACTTTGTCTTGGTGTCCATGGCCAGATTCCAGTTTGGCATTTAAACACCCTGTTCATGAGTGCTGCTGTGGGACACATCTGGAGCATGGCAGTCACAGCTCCTTTGCCATCTTAGCACAAGGGATCTGCCCTGATTTGTTTCTCTTCACCCAATGCCTTCCAAATTAGTTATTGCTAATTGGACACCCACCCCTACCTGTATCTGCACTATCATTCCTGGTCACTGCATTGCATTGCTCTGAAATGGGGAAACATTTACTAAATTTGAAGAAAAATGTATTTTATTCTTCCCACTGTCACAGACAGGTAACTTGGAGCAAGGCAGAAATTCTTTTCAAGACCTGCTTGAGCTGATAATTCAGGGTGGTCACCTTGAGCCCATTTCCAAAAGGACCTGTTCCCTTCTACCTTTGAGATTCTTGAAAACTCCAGCAAATGGTGCTGTATATTAAACACTACAGCAGGGCTGCACTTCTTAAGGCACATGGATTATTATTATTATTTCAAACTTTGGAAAACGCTTTACTGACTGAATCTAATGAAAATAACTTCAAATTGAAATAGATGTGTTGGATCTAATGATGCTCATTTCAACTGAACCATGGCTAAATGGGAAATATTCATTATTCAGTGAGTTATCTCTTGATGACAGTGTTATTTCCTCAGGGGCAAACAGAGTAGATACCAAGCTCATCCACTTCTTAATTCATATTGGTTGTTCCCTAGAAAAAACACCCTTACTACACATATGAAGTGCCAGTGTTATGAGCAGAGCTGTGTTAAAATAAGTTTCAAATGAGTCTGGATTTCTGTAAAGTTTTAGGATCTTGCAGGAGCAGATTATATTGCTGTAGTAAGGCTCTGCAGAGTTTCTACATATCCATCACCCTTGTAGCTGGACAGGAGACCCCAAAATTGGGATTGCCAGAAAAGCAGTGCCTGCAGCCATCACTGTGCTCTGGACATGTGGCTGCCCAGGAGGAGCTGAGAGAAAAATGAGCCACACATTCCCAAGCTCTCCTCCACAGAGCTCCTTCTCCCCAGTGGCAATGTCTTTAGAGGGACATAAATCAGATTTTTTAATATTGCATCTCCTTCTAGTTGTAGGTAGGAAATAACTTATTGTGTTTCTACAGAAGAAAAAAGGAAAGCAATTAGAATACTCCAGTTTCACATTCAATTTATTTAATTAGGCTGCATGTGAAATTGCCAGAGCCCCACTCACTGCTGCTCCGAGCATCTTACATCTGTGCCATTTTTGAGGATATACTCTGTAGGAAATCCTCTGGCAGCTGAGCTGAGCTCTGGTACCAGAGCTTCCTGGTATTTGATGCTTAATTGATGACTCTTAAAATGGAGCTGTCCTTCAAGTTCACTCTTTGGGATTTGGAGAGGAGGAAACTAAATCATGTGGCTGAATCTTTTTTTAATTTCTCCCTGCATTACCTACACAGCGTGCTGGGCTCTGTTCCTGGAAATGCTCTGTGCACATGTCTGTGGTGGCAGCAGGGCTTTGCTGTTGTAGCTTTGACACCATTAAGACACCACTGATATGAAACAGTTCTTAAGTTAATGCTGGGAGGAAAGAAAGTTCTTTTAGCACTCTTTAGACCTGCAAGAAGTGAATCCTCTCCTGGCTGTCATTTATTGCTCTGTTTATCAGCAGTGAGCAGTTTAAAAAGCAGATGTTCAGTGCAGACACACTCAGCAGGAGGAGGGGAACTAAAATTGCCCCATTTAACAGCCCTTGTTTTGCACACCTAGAATGGTGTGAGTGCTGCCAGCTGTCACCTGGGCAGTGGCCAGGTGTCACTGGATTCTGCCTTTCATGCAGGATCTCCCAGGAGAGGCAGTGATTCATGGAGCCCTGCAGATCCTGCAGACTGTGGCCAGGTTCAATGCCCATCATTAATGGTGGCTGCAGAAGCAACTGATCTTTTCTCATTTTCCAGCTCCAGAGTATTTTTTTTTCAGCCCAGTTCAGCATTCACAGCTAAGTTCTGGATTTCTGGTAACAGTGTTTGCTGCTTTTCTTCTGCCTTCTCCACATTTCTCCTAATTGAGTCAGCACTGGCTTCACCACATTTTATTGCTCTCATTTATTGCAGCTACTACCTATCAAATTAATTGCTGTGTTTTGACAGACCCAATTTACTTCCCCGTTATGGCTGCTAATACTATTGATGAAATGTGGTTGTCAGCTTCTCTGTGGGGGATCAGTTGGTATTTTAAAAGCCTACCTTGTTTCCAGCCTTCCCAAAAAGGGACCAAAAGGGCTGTCACTGCCCTTAGGGCCATATTAAACATGTAGGTTAGGCACAAGGAAGCCAAGGGAGAAAATGAGGTTTAAAAAGTGTCTGGCCCAGGTCTCCAAGCAGAAACAGCTTCTCCCAAAGACAGAACTGCATGTTTTGTGGGAAGAGCCATGCCCCACATGCAGGTAGGTGGGATCATGGGGCTGTGGCACAGGATTTCCCTCTGGAATGCCCTGTCAGCAGGTGCCTCCAGCGAGGGGCCCGGTGCTCCTGGGGCTCTGCCCCATTGCACAGGGTGCTGACAGGACACCAAAGGCCAGAGGTGCCAAATGGCACGGCCCAGGGCAGCCCAGCTGGGCAGCAGCAGTGTGCTGGAAGCCATCTGGAGCTTTCAGCAGTGCTAGGGGCTGCAGTGGGTTTGTAGGAGTGCTCCAGTGCCCTTCCTCATCTGTCCTTCAGCTAAATGTGGCTGATGTTCCATCCCCATTCCACTCTGCACTCTAGGCTGGAGAGGCACAGAAACACAAGCTCCTTCACCTGCTGCCATTGTCTCCATGATCACTTTCTTCCTTTGTCTCACTGTTTTGTTCTCAGGGACAGATTCCTCTTAAACACATCTGTATATTTGCATCCATCTTTAAGGTAATTCCATGTCCGTGTTTCCCCTGGGTGCTGTAGAAACCTGTGTCCCCTCCTCAGCCTGTGTGATTTGTGTGGTAGTGAGAGCATTTGGCTCCATCCTTCCTTCCTGTAGGAGCAATTTTACTGCAGTCATTCTGTGTGTGTGACACTAATGTTTATGTATGCTTTTTATTATTATTTCTAATTGTGATTCTTTGGTATTTCAGCTGCTTTCAGGGAGGGAGGGGTGAAAAAAAAACAGTTGGGTTTTAGCAGGAGCTGGTGCTCAGCCCCACATTTGCAGAGGAAATAGCTACAGAATTTGGGAAAGGCTGAGCTTTGTAATTTGAGTTTAATATTTAGTGGTTATGGAAAAGAAAGGGCTGGAGCCATCTCTGCTCCAGATGCTCCACTACTCCCTTGTGCTTCTGCCTCAAGTGCAGCCCTGGGAGGGCTCTGGGCAGACCAAAATTGGTTGTTCCAAGTGACCACCCCAGCCAGGACTTCATCAAAACATGGTCACTTGTCCAGCCACTTGCACAGACCCTTCTAGAAAGTGTTGGTCCAGTTAATTCTGTTAAATAACAAAATAACATTAATGCAAACCGTGCTGAGCTGCTTACAGACACCTGAGTGGGAAGACCTAGGAATGGTCAGGCAGGACATCTGGGCTGAGAGACTGGGAAACAACCACACATCTCTAAATACCCCTGGGAGCAGCTCCAGCACTTTGGAGACTCTGCCTGGCCTGGTTCATTGCTCTGACACAAATGGATGAGCCAGAGCCAGGGTGTCACCTGCTCTGAGTGAGGAAGGACTTGCAGAGATTCTCCAAAAATAGCCAGGAGCAGGCAGAGGCAGATGGGGACAGCTGGTGCCACTGCCTGCTGCTGCTGCTGCATTTTCCATAGGGAGGAAGGGACTTCAGCACCCCCATGAGGGCAGATGATTTGAATGGGGACTCAATGGAGGAATTGAGAGCTTGCCAGGGGTGTGTGTTTGTGCTGTGTAGGTTGTCCCACACCATCCCTGTCCCGTGCTCTTGTGTTTGGGAGGGCAGTTTGGGGAGGCTCATTCCTTGCTGGACACGAAACTCGTGTGAATCCCCAGTGGCTGTGATCCCCTCACAGCTGCTGTGGGTGACAGCCATGTGCTCTCCTGGGTAATTGCACAAAGCAGGCTTTGCTCCCCTGTGGCTTAAAAAATGTAGGAGAGATAAAATCTTATTTCTTAGCAAGTGTTATTTACTTGAGATTCCCATCCAGCCTCAGGCCTCACAGCACGAGCACAGGAGCTCTGGTACTGGATCTCTGCTGCTTCACAGGCAGCCCCAGCTTTTTGGCTTGTGTTTGTGGGGGTCCTCTCACCCTGACACTGGTGTTTGGAGAGGCAGAGGCCGCTCAGAGTGGAGGGACAGCACTGAAGACACCCCTGACAAGAGCAGGAATCAGCAGGATGTGCCAGACAGGGAGCTGGGCTGTGCTGAGCTGCCACAGAGCAGAGCCTCTGCTGCTAAATGAGGTGATCAATCATTTGAAGAGGGGGATGACAGGCACTGAAGACAGGGCTGTTCCTCAGCTTTCCCTGCAGGGAAATGGTCCATAGGTTCAAGGTCAGGTTTATTGCAGGGCTTTGCTGAAGTGGAGAAGGGAATGGGATTTTTGATCATTTCTGGTTTTTTCAAAAAATGGGTTAGCCCTGTGTCCTGCTTTAGGGATCAGTCACCCCAGGACACCCTGTGTGTACTCTGTGTTGTTCCTAGCCAGGAAATACCCCCAGAGCCCCCAGCCCACTCCCCCCAAACACTGTGTGCTCCAGACACGTGCAGCAGCACTGACACTGCCGAGCTGGCTTGTCCATGCAGGTTCTACAGAATGCACAGGGTACCCAGAGCAGCTGTGGCTGCCCCTGGATCCCTGGAAGTGCCCAAGGCCAGGCTGGACAGGGCTTGGAGCACCCTGGGATAGTGGAAGGTGTCCCTGCCATGGCAGGGGGTGGGAGAAGATGATGTTCAAGGTCTTCTTCCAACCCAAACCATTCCACGATTCTGTGATACAGCCAGACTGGTGTGAGCGGGGCTGGGAGACACCACTGCTTGGAGATGATCACCTTTGTGTTGTGGATATGTTTATGATGGAGAAATGGGTGTTTTAGGTGAAGTCATCTGCCTGTGATCGGTTCCTGCTGTGGGTGGCACCTGGAGGTGTTCCCTGTCCCCCATCCAGTGACAGTCACGTGCTGTCTGGGGGTGGCTGGGCTGGGTGGAGGTGTTGCTCCTCAGGGATGCCCTGAAGTGCAGTACAGCTCAAGCCTTCTACATGAGAAAACATCAAAAGTTAAGGGCAGGAGAAAAAGGCTGAAGTTACTGTGGTGTATGTGGAATGCAAGTAAGTGACCTTGGCTGAGATTCTAGGGCTGCTGCTCTCAGGTTGTGGGGACTGCTGTTTTGGGGACCAGGCAAACTCACAGAAATCAAAATCACACCATTTTTGTGTAGGAAAAACTGGGTTCTGGTAGAAACATTTAATTTTACTACCATTTACAGCGGCACTTTGGAGAAGCAGTTGTGAGATCAACCCGTCGCTCTGATCTTTACAAAAAAATCACATTAAAGGAGAGCAAGCCAGAACTCTCCAAATGCAAACTAGATCATTTGGAAAGCATGCTGCTGATCTGCACGACTTTCCCCTAGAACCAGATACCTCCTCGTGGAGAAGGGCATCCAGGGAAGTGGAGAGCTCAGTTTTTGGGAGCAGAGGCCAAGCAGGTGTCCGGGCACAAGCTGCACATCACTGCAGGGCATCGTGCTGAGGTGTTTATGTGGTACCAGCACAACAGGCTGCTTCATTGCTATTCCAGGGCTGGAAAAAAAACACCCCTTGCCTTGCTGTGTGCCTACAATGTTTTTATTTCCTTGCCACCCATGTAGAACACAAGGCAGCAGAGAAGCAGCCAGGGACCCGGAGCTGCCCGACGTGTGCGAAGACGAGGCCGCGTCCTGAGGCCGCCCGGCCGCCGCGGGCTGGGCACGCACGAGCTCCAGCCCTTCGTGGTGTTGCGTGGAACATCGCCCTCATCACCCAGCCCGGGGCCTGCACAGCAACAACAGAACCAGAATAAACCCACCAGAATCGGACCAAGCCAGAAAGCCAGGCAGGAGGATCGGAGCAGAGCGAGCCTCGGGGCAGCGCGGCCGCGTTCCTCGGCCAAGGTGTCCTTGGCTCCTCCGTGCGTGCCTTGCTCTCCACTTGTGCTTCACCTTGGGGCTCTGTCGGGGGTCTCGGCTGAGGAACGGGGCTTTGTTTGTCTCAAGGGTCCTTTTCCCCCCAGAGACTTTTGCCTTGCGTTTTTGCATTCCCTACTTCAAGCATCAGGAATGAAAACTGGCTTGTGAGACGGGTTTTATATCGGAGGGCAACTGCTTAATTTAATGCACACTTGTGTATATCAGGAGTGCTGCTCTTTGTGTGGAGTTGATGGCAAAATGTCCTTGGATATCAGTTAAATGAGGATGAGATCTTGCTGTTGGAGTGAACATTGTCCCTCTCTATGCCTTTCTTTCTCTTCCCTTTTCCTCTTATCCCTCAGTTCTGCATGGTGTCAGTCCTGCCCCCAGCCACGGCCAGAGCAGTTGCATGAGATTCCCTTTATGTGCACAGAGCTCTGGAGCATGGGGATATGCTGCTACACAGAACAGCTCAGTGCTCCAGGGACATCTGCCAGGCCTGCTCTTCCCAAAGAGCTGGGAATGGATCCCATCAGCTGCACCCAGTCCTGCACCCATGGACCATGTTCTCCAGCTGAAAAGAGTGGCAAGTTTAGGCTTTATTTTATTTCATTCCCTTCTCTTCACTCATCTCTTGTGTAACTGATGCTTTTAAACTTTAGTTTCCTGAAAATGAGTCAAACTGGGACAGGTTCCTAGGATGGAAAATGTTGGTGGAGGGGTTTTAGAAAGCTACAGAGCACAAGTTCACAACTTGATATTTTGATTATTTTTTTAAGGCTTTAATTTTTAATTTTAAGACTCTTATTTTTATGCATGTGCTGATGCTGCTATTTTATCCATAGATAGCTTCTAAACTTGGGGTTAGAAGCTTCATCTCAACAGTTTGACAACCAGTGAGAGATTGCACTTAAAAAGGCAAATACAAAAAGGCAAATAGAGCCATTTCTGTGGCTGTTGACTGTACAGACTGTGTGGATAATCAGGAATTTCACTCTTCCATTCAGAGAGTAGAAACCAGTGACATCCGTCTGTCAAAATACATGTCATTATTTTCCCTTGAGCCTGGGAGCTCAAGGGAAAATAAGCTTTTCCCTTGTGCAGCAGGGAGACTGGAAAGCAGAGTGGAGGGTTTGTATGGAAATAGAACCTGGATGAGGTGCCAAACTTCTCTGCTTTAGCAGTGCACATTTGTAGTGGAGTTTGCTGAGCAAAGCAATGCAAGGCATTCCTTTCTGGCTCAGATCCTCCTGTACAAGTCCATGCTCAGCTCGAGTTCCTCCCAGGCTGGATTAACCTGGATTATGACATGACCCTGTTGCTCTGAATGCAGCCTTCCATGGGATGAGGGAAGGAAAGCAGCTCATCAGTCACTGCCTTGCTCCTTCCCTTCCTGAAGAAAAGCCATGTGTGCTCATTGCTGCTGCTGGCAGAGCCCAGACCTTCCGTCAGTATCCACAAGCCATCAATCAAAGTACTCCCAAAAAATGGTGTAAATTCAAGAAAACATGAATTGCAACTCTTGAGGGTACAATGCAGATCCTCTGTGCTGTAATTTTGCTCTTTTTGATTTCTAGGCCTGTTCTGTTGGAATTTCAGACTCTTGTTGCACTTGAAGTTGAACCTCTGCCCCTGTATGTGCTCTGCTATGATTCCAGCATGATGTAAGTGCACTCAGTACTGTGACAGCACATGGCTGTTGCACTGTAAATATGTACCATGAAGAGAGAGGCTATTTTTTGCATGCTTTTGTACTGTAGAACTGATGAGAAAATTACAATAAATTCCACAGAGATGACTCTGGGTGTGAGTGCAGTTCCTAAGGCAGCTGTGGCTGCTGGTTATTGGGTGTTCTCTGCTGCTCAAACCCTCTCTGTGTGTGTAGCTGCAAGGAGGGGCTTGAAGGGATTCCTTTCTTTGGCCTTTCCATGCTGGGCATTTCCTGGATGAAGAAGCTCAGGGCTCTGTCATGCTCAAGTGACACATCCCCAGCTATTCCAGCCTCTCGCTGTAATGGGGCTGGTGAAATTGTATTGCCTTCATTCCATTTGGTTCCAAATAAAAGTGCAATTTCCTTAGCAGAGTGGCTGGGGGTGGCCTGGCTTTGAACTCACTCAGCACACTTGTGGAAAGCCCAGCAAATCCTGGGCTCATCTGGTGCCATGGGGCAGGACTGGCTGAGCCTGCCCTCCTCCAGACATCTTCCTCCAGGAGAAAACGCCAGAGGCACCAAGCTGCTCCTCTCATTTTTATATTGCACAAAAAAAGTTTTAACAAAGGTGAATGCATCTGCCTCAGCCCTGACAATGATGTTGCAAAGCTGAGAGAGTTGGGGGTGTTCAGCCTGGAGAAGTGAGTATTCTTTATAATGGTGCCATTGACATCCCACAGTGAAAGCTGCTCCGTGCCTGTGGGGGTGTGCTCGGTCCCAAACCTCACCCTGGTGCTCATCTTGATCTCACTCCGCCTTGAGAAACACACATGGTCCCCGATTAAACCTCATCCCAGTCCCAAACCCAAGCTCAAGGCCAGGCCAAAGGCAAATGCCACATTTAGCCTTAAACCCAATCCCCGCTCTAATCTAAAAGGCAGCCCTAACTCCAAGGCCAGCCCCAACTCCAGGCCCTTCCCAAATGCTCAGCCCTAATCCCAAGGCCACCTTTAGCCCTAAGCCCAAAGCCAGCCCCAACTGCAGCTGTAAGCCCAAGCCCAAGGGCAATCTCAAAACCTAAGGAAGATGGAGAATGGCCGGGGGCTGTGAGGACGGTGACAACACTGGCACCCCCAAATCAGAGAAGGACAAAGAGCCCTCGAGATCCCCTGAGAGAATAATATTATAATATTATAATTTTAATATAATTATAATATATATATTAATATAATTATAATATTATAATATTATAGAGAATAAAATTGGCAGAAACTCCATGTATCAACACATCAAATGCTTTGACTGAGATTTGCCGCTTTGGGTGAAAATGCAAAGGACACAGACCCAGCCACCCGCCAGGGGGACAGGACAGACAGACCCCAAGTGGCCCTGTCAATTTAAAAGGGCAGCTGTCGATTGTTTCACTGTTGCTGCATTTCTTGCCTTCCTAAAGCCCCCCCTACCTGTACTACAGCCTGTGATTGAAGACACAAAACTACGACCTGGAGGAAAGGCAACAAAAGCTTGACAAAGGCTGAAGGGAACGCTCTGATTATCCCTTTTCCCAAGAGGTTCCCTTAGCTGAACTTGCTAACAAGGACCAGACATGACAGCCCACAGTGGCTTTCGGGTTGTTTTATTTCTCGGCCCACAGTCCTGTGTGGGACATGGGAACTGGGTGCTGCAGAGGCTGCGGCAAGGTGTCAGAAATGCCTGCCCAACACCCAAGGGTGACAGAAGATCTGCTCCAGCACTGACCGATCCATGGGGTGCTTGGACAAACACCACTGGATCAGATGTTGGCACTCTGCGGAGAGAAGGCAGAAAGCGGTGGTCACTTGCAGAAGGCTCCAGCCCAGCGTGTACTCGGAGCTGCCCTTGGCGGGAGAGCGGCACGGCAGGACAAGCAAGGGCCCCCTCCTTCAGCCAAGCGTGCCACACCGAGCCCGGCACGGGCCACCTGCTGCAGCCGGCCCTTGAGGGCACACGGACGTCC